AACAATGTAAGAAATTTTGTATTTTTGTTTTGTTTGTTTTATAAAACTTAAAGAAATTTTGTAAAAACCAAAATATAATTTTTTAAAGAAACAGATTTTATTCATTCAAATTATTATTATTAAAATTAATTTTTTAATTTTAGTCAATATTGTAAAAAAAATTTAATTTTTTTTTTTACTTTTAAGGAAAAACATTTTATCGTACTGCTATCAAACTGCTTTTCACTCAAAAATATGGCTATATAGTCTTCAACGTGCAGTAACCGCCCTGTTTTTTTGTAAATGTACTACATATGTATGTACGTATGTATTTTGCCATAAATTTGTATTAATTTTGTCTTTGAAGTAATCATCAATCAAAAACTACTTAATTTGCAAATAGTGCACAGATTTCGGCAACACCAAAACAGACGCTATGAAACGTAAAATCACGAACCGCCTCAAGTAGGTTAATATAAAATGCTAATGAATGATAATAATAATATTCAATAACGCATTCGGCGAAAACTTTATTATTCATTTACTTTGCATGGGATTGCTCACATTAGCAAAGCAATACTTGTTTATGCCTTTCTATGGATATATGAGTGTGCGTGTGTGGAGGTGCCAGCGCCTGCTTAGCTATAGACATTTCATTTAACTTTCTCCCAGACAATGCGAACGTAAATATTTAGGTAATATCTCCTCAACTTGACTATTTGCGCATATAAATTGGCAGCGAACGTGTCACGACGTTGTCCATAAAATGCATAACGGTATGACGGCGGCGCGGTGAGCTAATCGAGCGAACAACAGGTGAGCGCACTGCTCCACTCATCAACCTTAACAAGGCGCTGCCACCGTTGCTGCTGCAGGTATTGTTCGCGCAGGCGCTGCTGTTGTTGGGTGCAGTTATGTACATCTACAAAAACACATGTGTGCATGCATATGTTATTTATATTGACTTTTATTACATAATTTGTTCGTGATATGCACGTGAGGCTCTTTTAGTCATAGCGTTGGCACTCACAAAAATAATAAAAACAAAAAACAAAAAAAAAAAACCGTTGAAGCAGTCAAATGCAGTTAAGACAATTTATTTATGTGTGCATATGTATGAGAGTGAACTCTAATGTGAAAATAAGGTGGCTGCTAAGTGAACAGGTTGCCACTGAAAGTGAAATTAAACTGTTTTCTAATTGTTTTGATTTTCAAAATGTTTTTAATAAAGGCAAATTTATGCAACACATCATTGAAACTGGTCTAGGCTTTGCCAGTGGCGTTGAGCTAGGTGTCAATGAATTTGTTGCAGCTAAGGTGGTGCAAAAGGGAAAGTGAAAACGCATAATCATTGAAAATTTCGAAAAACCGCTTTGCCAACTATTTAAATCGGTAAACATTAAAAATTAGTGAAAATGACAGCTGAAATTGGAATTGATTTCAAATTATTTGCGCCGCTGGTTTTGAAAACCGCTACAAACCTAGTTTCTCTTAACAGTATAATTCTTTTTTGCCCTTTTTGAGATTATAAATCCGCAACTTGAACGAATTTTCAATTTAACTTGACTATGAGTTACTGAAAAAGCGTTAATAAATGTTATAACCAGTTGTAGTTTGCGAATTATTTTTAATTTGTGCAAAAACAAAAGACTTAAGCGACAAACTTGTTAATTTGTCTGCACAATTTCGTGGGAAATATTGAAAAGTCGTTTTAGTTATTTTCAATTTGATTTTTTTATATTTTTATATTATTATTTTTATATATATTTTTTAAGATTTTTAAAAAATTAATATTATAATAAATTTGTCGAATTAGCGATTAAAAATATTATTTGCTTTAAAAAAAAATATTTATTACAATAAATATATAATATTAGCATTTTCTTTTGATTATTTAAGTTTTCGAACCAAAAAATTTAAATAATTTGTTTCTCTGTATTTCTATTGTTTTTTGTTTTTTGTAAAAACGACAGTTAAAATTAGGAATATTAGTTAATAACGTATATGGTTGCATTCGAAAATGATTTAAGGATTTAAAAAATTTAACTTTTTAACAATTATCTTTGCTAATTTTTTATAAATTATATTTTTAATAAACTATAAAACAAATTTTACATCATTAAAAAGATATTTGAACTTTATTAATTGAAGATTCAGTGAATATTCCACTAACTGGTTGAAAAAAATACGTATACGAGACAAGATTTAAAATATCTAAAAGAGTTTAAGAAATATTCAGAAAAAGTTTTAACTATTTTTTTTTTTTAATTTTTAAATTTTTAATGACGAATTAATTTTTTTTTATTTTAGAGAAATTTAAAAGCAATTTTTTTTTTTAATTTTAAAAATTTATTTTTAAAGACGAATTATTTTTTGCATTTCAGAAATTTAATTTTTTTCCACTTATGTTTTTTTTTTGAAATTTTATTGTTAAAGACGAATTATTTTTTTTTTTTAATTTTGAAAATTTATATAATTTATTTAAGATTTTTAAAAGTGAAAATTAAAAATCTTAGATATAGAAACTTTAAAAATTATTCACCTACTTTAAAGTTCCTTCATATTGTTGTACCCCCAATAGGCTATATTAAGTTTGCCACGAAGTTTCTAACACCCTGTATATACGAGAACTACTCCCTCAGGTCTAAAATTTGGCACACGTTCTTTTCTTCCCAAGAAACTGCGCTGCGATCTTTGTTGGAATCGCTATAAAGGACTCTTATATGTATGTAGAAGTAGCTGCCATACAAACTGATTGATCAAAATAAAGTCTATCATACATATACAAAATTCGATACAAATACTTGTACAAGGCAATGCTGAAATCTCAGAATATATTGTTCGGATAACTATTAGCACATTGCTCCCATACACACTTACAACAACAAATCAGTGCATAAATGTATGCAAAAAGTAAAAATAAATACATGCAAATATACAAACTCTCGGTTGAAACATAAAAAGCAAGTATTTCCAGAAAATCAGCAGCCATAACAACTTTAAAGAGAAAAACAATAACAAAAGTAAAAAGAAAATAGTTTCTATGTTTGTGAAAATGTTTTCTGTTGTCTGAACGGCTACCAAACACCGACGCTACACCCCCACCAACCCATCAGTGAGGCAATAAAACAGACGCCGCAACAACTGTTAAGCTTGCATGTTTCCACTATGATTTGCTGTTGTTGTCAAAGCGCTGAAGTTTTACCAAGACTTTGTTGCCAACAACGATAAGTGCATATAAAGCACAACAACATACGCCAGCAAATTTTTTCGACGCAATTGTTTTTTTTTTTTTTTTGAGTGTTTCGAAATTGTTGTTATTGTCGTGGTTGGTTAGCTTGTTTGTGGTTTTCGTGGAGAAAAGTGTTGGTTGTCGGCACTTTGCATTTATGTTGCTTGTGGTTCATACATACAGACACATGTTTATGTGTACGTGGTATACATACACACACTGTCGCTTGCATAAGGCAATGCATACAGGCAGACGACAGCAAAATGTTTTTAGGTGAAACTGCAGCACAACGAATTGTCAAGCTGAAACTGTAAAAAAAATATGAGAAAGCGCACACACATACACACGCATAACTAATGATGCTACTAAGCTGATTATTACCAAATTTGTGTTATGCAATTTTAAATCGAATTTTTTCGATCCGCTGTTAAGTAAAGTGAAATCTAAAAGGTTTGTGATGCAAAATTTTTAAATATCTTTTAATTTTAATTTTTAAATAATGGGATTAATATTTTTCTCAATTTTTCACTGTTTAATTTTTAATATGATTTTAGGGATAAATGAATTATTTTTAAGTTTCGAAAATTTCAAAAAAATTTTTCCAAATTTCGAGATTACATACATACATATGTGAAAACTATTTTTAATTAAGGTTTCGGAATTATAAAATAAAATATTTTATTTAATCGTTAATGCAACTGTTTTTGTAAAAATTTCATTAAAAATATTAGCGTAACTAATTTGCAGATATAAAAGGGTTTATAACAAAATTGTTTATCCTTCTGTTTCAATTAAAACCAACAAATTCCACCTTAAATGGAAACTGCATACATTATGCTATCGATAAACAAAAGCTGACAGATAATTTAAAATACAAACAAAATAACAAAGGAAATAAATAAATTAAAAAAAAATAAAAATTGTTTTCATTAAAATTATTTTTCATTAAAAAAACATTTATCATTAACAAAAAAAAAATATTTTTATTTAAATTTGATTTTTTGCCAAACCAACTGTTTTTTGCGACTTCCCACCCAGAGCATTGAACTTTAGGAGATCTAACCAGGACTCAAGCAAATAGGCCGCGCGACCTTAATATGGCATATCTAAAATTCAGGAACAGTACTCAAGATCTCGCCGATTGCTTTAACATTGTCACTCATATTTACTTATGTTATTTTGCCATAAAAAGGCGCACAAAAGGCCTGAAGTTTTATTTCTCGATACATAATTGGCAAGTGTTTAAATTTTCAGCATCGCCACTTCGTTCCCACGCCTCAAATGCGCATGCAGAAATCTGGCAAATTATTGCAATATCACACACACACATATTTATAATACAACTGAGTTCTCACTTTACATTGCTAATTTGATATGCTTAGCACTTACCTTGCTCTTTCGTTGTTGTCGTTTTCTTTTTATTTTATGCCTTCACTGTCGATATTCACTTTATCGTTAAAAATATGAAATGGTGGCGTCAGCAGAAAAGTAATATTGCCGATATTATGTGGCTACACGAGCCGGCTGTTCTTGGCGTCGATTTGGTTTTTATTTGTTGTTAGTGTTGTTGTTATTTGCACTGTAACTATGTGTAGACTTTCAATGGCTTACAACGTTGCCTCAAAGTAATATAAAAGAGGTGCAAAATGTCGAAAAAATTTATGCAAATTGAAGTGCTTACACTCTAAAAAAATATGTATATAAAGGAAAATAAATTGGAAAGAAATGAAACAAAGTTAGCGTAAGAGCGCGAAAACAAATAAAACGTCGAAAAAATAACGATTTGCGCGCACAACGGAAAGTTACAAAAAAGGAAAAGGAAACAATCTGCCAATTGGCTTCTTTTGTCTTCACAGCAAATTTCGGTGTCGTCGGTTATTCGTTTTTGTTTTTTTTTTTCTTTTGTGCTTGTGTGGCTTTCGAGCGTACCTTAACTTTTGCACTATTTTCTTTTACTTGGTTTGTTCTACTTGCGAAATATTGACGTTAAAGGAGCACATACACGCACGCACGCTCACTCACCGGCTTTAAACACGAACGTGTGCAAAATTTTAAAAGCTCGTTCTTTGTAACCGTACCGTATGTTAACTGACTAACTGACCAACGAAACAACCAACCGACCGACCGAACGTAAAACTGTTGCAAGCGGTGCCGTTTAAGGCAAGTTTTGTTTGTTGGCGTTGTTGTGCCAAATTTGCACTTTATGTTTTACATTTCTCACTTTTTCGCTGCTTATGTGTATGTACTGTATGTATATTTTGTTTGTTGCTTTGTTCACTCTGCAGTCACAACAGCTGTAGATCGTCAACATCAACGCCTTGAAGGCAGTGTTGAGTAAGGTGCGCGCACCAAAATGGGAGCAGCTCGAATTTAAACACCAAAGCCGAAAATCTATCAACTTAAACGAGTGCATAAATGCACGCTGTAAAAGGAGCCGTTGTAATGTATACGAGTAACTGCTTGTTTGTTTTGTTTTTACCTAACTCGTTGTATTTTTTTGTTTTTTGTTTTGTAATCGCTGTGTTGTTCGTGCGCTATTAAATTCGCGCAAAATAAACCTCTGACAGTGTACAAAAGAATATCAGTTACATGTTTTTTTATTTTTATCTCGCGTGAATCTGCGGTCTTCTAGTGTTGTGCTAAAGGTGATGTTTATTTTGCGCGAATACATGTATGTGTAAATAACGAGTTGTACTTTGTCGGAGTAAATACGTAGTTAGAATTAAGTTGACAATTTGCAATGAGTCAACAACTCGTGCTAATTTTCTTTTTCACCAACACAGCACTGCACTATGCACGTTTTTATGTCTCCATTACACAAACAATAACACTTGAGCGTTCATTTCACGTACATATGTACTGTTTGCTGTTAAAGGTAGTTGTAAATTTTTCGTTTAAATGTTTTTGTTTTTGTGTAGTTAATGTCTTGTATTAATTTAGTTTTCAGTGTTAGTTATTTAAACACGCATTAATTATGTTAGTGTTTAAAAAGTAGTTGATCTGCAATTTAATTTACTTACACAATAATTTATTGCTCTAACACTTTAATTTTATATTTTCTTTTAATTAATTTTCGAATAAATTTTTCACGTCTTAGAGTTCGAATGGTTTGTTATGCTTTTAGTTTTATCCATTTGTCATTAAATTAATGGTCAGTTTTTCAAACATAAAATTTACCGTTAACTGTGTCACATCAAGCACTTTTCAAATCAGTTTTACACAATGTTTCACAATTAATCTTTAATGGCCAATTAATCACATTTAAACATAAATAAGTTTGCCTTAACTATTTCGTTACCACTTTGCGTTGTTCAACACAAAACATTAAATTGTAAATAACTGCAGAAAATTCGTTTAAGCGTGTTAGTGCATCACTATTCGTACACGATCAAAGCTATTTCCCGTTTGTTGTCCGTTGTACACGTTTGAATTGCAGCCCTGCTCGTTCGCGACTGACGTACGATCACTTGCTTGGTAGGTTCATGTGTGCCAGAAAGTCAACGCAGCGAGTTTCACCACAGCAGAGTACCGAAGTAAACAAGTTTCTGCTTCGTTCTGATCTGCTCGCAGCAACGTTTGGAGTCGGTAAGTGAGTTAGCCGAAAATGCAAACATCTCAATTTTACATACACTGCGCTACAGGAAATCGGAAGTGCAACACTGCATATACCTATCTTAAACTTCACGCAATGATAAGCAGTTCTTATTAGAATATCTGCTGGATTCCAACTTGTAACGGAAATGATGTTGTTGGATGCAAATATGGCAGATGCCATATCGATGAATTGCTTCAATATAATTAAAATATTTTACTAGTATATATGCAATATTTCGTTTAAGTATTATTCTATTTATGCACTTTAAGGAAAATTATTTAAATCGATTTGACTTCCAACCGTCTAACACAAATTTGAAATAAGTCACCATGCAAACAGCTTAAAATTATGAAAACTATACTAAACGCGAAGAACGTATTTTTTACGTTCTCTGGCCAACGTGTTTACGAATTAGCAACGAAACAAACTGTCAAAGTGTAAAAACTGCAATTAGAGTTTCTTGTTCAATAAATTTAATTATTTATAATTGTAAAGTGGAATAAATAAAACAAGATCCTCCAATATGTCAGAAGAATTTCGCGCAGTCACAAGAAAAAAATGGATTGCACGCAGATCCATAAACCCAAGACTACGAAGGTTATCAGAACGTTGCAATGAAAAAGACGAGAAGGAAGTGGATATTGACGCATTTTTAAAGTACAACAAATCCCCGGAATTTAGTTCTCTACCCAAATTAATACATTTTCATTCCTAGACGCCTGGAACAGTTATGCACCCAGATGGTGGGCAGTGATTACTTTATACAGGCAATGGAGACTGTGGACGAAAGCCTGAAGGCGTTAATCGAAAATGAGAAATTTGCGCGTCTAGTTTGTTTTGGTATCGGTCCTTTCTCTCGCAACTTTCAAGCATTACATCAGCTGGCTTTCATTATTTGCACACAACGACATTATAGCATTGATGAAGCCATATATTTTGATCCAGTATTTCGTGAGAGTGAAAAACAAATTTTGCAACGCCTCAATTGTGCGCTAATGTCGGAAAATTGTGAAGCAAAGTATTCCGTAGACGATCGCACATTATTCTATCTTCCACATTGTCCGAATTGTTTGACCAACAATTTGCTATGGAGAAATTGGCGTCCAAAATGTTTAAAACATTTGGTACTTATAAATAATAGTTTTGAAAGTTTGTCGCTTAGCAAAACCGAGCGTTTATTGAGGTTGGATTCAAGTTATATATTGGATGTGTTGCCTTATGTCAAAGAATATCAAATAGAGGATGATTATGAAACACACAATGTTTTTAATGATTTGTCAGTACATGTGTTTCCAATGGCATCACTACCTGCTTCCGAAAATCCTTTTTGGAATGAAAGAGAAGCACCAACATATACCGATGTTAAAATGATCTCTGCGGAGGAGTTCGGAAAACTCAGCCTAACGTAACGCTGCCTATTAAATTAGTTTAAGAAATAGGTAATTTAAGTTAATAAATAATAGTGCACAAATTATATTTATAAAAACATATCTTAGCTGGTAAATTAAATGTCTTACATAATTAAAATTCATTTATAAATTTTTCCAGAGCTTCGTCATTAGCTCTCTCGCCATCTCTACGCTTTTTTTTTAGTGAAGCCTTTTTCGATTTCACTTTTTTTCGAAAAGACTTCGCTAATTGTATACGTTGATCAATTATTTTCTGCTGTAATTCTAATTTAGTCTTAACACGACGCTGTATGTACTCCTCGTCACTGATTACTTTGCTAATACCTTTGGGTTGTGTATGCGGAAGTCGTGGTCTCAATGCACAAGGAATTATTTTGTAGTGCTTATGTAGAGCACTGCACAATAAGCCATTTATTGGCAAGTGTGGAACTTCTGTCATAAAAATTAAATCGGTGGGTTCCGTCTTAATAAGCGAATGCAAGAAAACTGTGTTCGTAGTGATCTCTTTAGAGGGAGCTGACAACAAAAGTTTGTTAGAAAATTTTGAATTGAAACGCAGAAAATATTTCCCTGTTGGCATTTTCGCCAATAAGTTCAAAGTATCTGCTAGTCCTGTTAACAATTTGGGCATATGTATTTGATACAATTCAGAAAGTTGTTTCTCGATGCCTGCTAAAATTAATTTATGCTCCAACTCCATGCTGAAGTCTTTGGCTGTAACACGAAGACATAAGCCGTAATTGGAAAATCCTTTACATTCACCAAACAGCTTTAATCGAAACCATTCTTGTATTAATTCATACTTAGTCATTTCTTCGGCGCCGAATTGTGGTTTATATTCTAATTTGAGTGAGTAACTGCTCAATAATTGTGCACCATATACATCATTTGATGGTGAGCATTTTAATTTTGTGAAAAATTGTAAATGTGTTGTGTTTTTCTCATCTACCTTTCCACTCAGATCCCATTTAATGACAGCATAATTAGTTTTGACACAATCTTCATCTTTCGTAATCCTGAATTTTTCCAAATACTCATCAATTTTGTATACGCGATAATCCGTTTCCGAATGATTAACTGCTCGAATTTCAGGTGCTTCTTTAATTTTCTGCAATTCGGCATTATAGTGCTCTACATGCAACCACTGCGTATCGTTATTTCTATTCAACAAAGCTTCAAATGCGTTTTCAACTACTTGTTTGTGCGCAAACCAACCACAAACGCGCGGCGGAAACGGTTCTTTAAACTTTAAAATTTTAAAGTTTTCTACACTGCTATCCGAAATTTCCAAAGGCACTTCAGTGGGCAAGTCGACACTACTGCCCGCTGTCAATAGAAATAATAACGATTCCAATGGTATATAAATCTGGTGCGCTGGTTTTTCAGATTCTATATTTCCTTGCCACGTGCTAGCGTCTTGGGATACAGATTTCATGTTATTAATATAATAACTCATGTAGTTTTCTATCCACGAATTCAGTCGTTGAAATTCACCAGAAAAATTTCCTAGCACCGGTACCCAACCACGACGTGTAAGCAAACGCACATCTTCTATTTGCAAATATGTAATCAGACTAGCGTTAAAACTCTGCGGATGTGGAAGCCCGGCACATGTGTTTAAGGCTATGTTCTCTGGATAATCCTCTAATAATTGTTTTAATTTTGCGGAATATAATTGTTTGTAAAGGTTAACCAAACGTTTACACGGCGCGTAAATCGATTCCTTTTGTGTGCGGGAGAATTCTATAACAAATTGGTCAAATCTAACTTTGTCTCTCGTTCTTTTCTTATCTAGTTTTCGCCAGAGAAATACATCCTCTTCGCTTACTTCCTTGTACTCTTGCCATGCTTGCAATACGCGTAAACCAATGATATGATCCCTTTTAGTCATATTGGAAGGCAGTAAAATTTGAAAAAATCCATTCCTTTCTTTTACGCCTCCTGAGTAGTCATATAAAATATTATCCACCACCTTTCCATTACGTGGATCCAATAAAATTTCGTATTTATAGCCATTTTCTTGGTGTTCAGGCTTCATGAAAACAGGATGCAGTTCGTTCAAATGACAAAATAATGCGTCGGTTGGGTCTTCAAATGATTTATTGAAGTGAGTGTAAGACGGTTGATTTTGGAAGAAAGTACTCCGCGGACGTTTACTGTTCATTTTAATACAAATTAATAATAAACGGTATAATAAAATAAATTTAGTTCTTTGGTAATATGCACTGTTCTATTTTTTCCACGCGAATTGTTTATAAACAGTTGTAAACATGTCAGCTGATAGCGCTACAAAACGAGCGAGACTAAAAATAAATAAAGAAGTGGAAAAAGCTAAGCTATACAGAAAAGAACTTTCAATTGATTATTAAGTAAAAATAATCAATTTAATGATACAAGTTCGTTATAGACAATTTTTTTCACATGTGACAAAACTTTATTAAGATTTATCAGAACGTTATGATATCCAAATTTCGATAATAATCGACTATAGCAGTAAGCGAATTCGCCCACACTCGCTGCATTCTTGCCTCACATCTCTAGCTGGCTCGTATTGGAGAGTTCGCCGTAAATATGTTGTTTTATCTGTGTCGTTTAAGTTTGACATTCGCCTTTGTTATTGTGTCACAATATTGTTTAATCTTAAAGCTTGTTGAAAGGATTTTTTTGGAAAGCCTCTGTAATAATCTGTAAAAATTCGACAATGTCTGACGGTGAGTAGTATTTATTTATTTATTACGATTTATTATTAAACAACTTTTCATACATAACAGAGGAGATTATAAAACGGCGTTTATTAATTGATGGAGATGGTACAGGCGATGACCGACGTCTTAACATGTTACTCAAACAATTCCTCAAATGGACTTTTTCCAAAAATGATTCTCCAGAAAACAAGTAAATACTACTAACTTATTTATTTACATTTATATTTTAATCATTTTCCTAAATCTAGTCAAATAATATACGATCGACTGCTGGCACAAATGGCACAATGTGAATTTGCGGCGGCGAAAACAGATTATACGTCTAAAATGATACATGAAGAATTGAAAAACTATGCAAAGCTCTCCGATTCCATTGAAAAGAGTATAGAGTTGGCTAGAAATGAAATTGAAGAAAGTAAACGTGAACTTGTACTAGCAAAACAAATACGTAAGAACAAAATGGAGTACGACATGCTGGCAAAGGTGATTAAGGAACAACCCGACCGTAAGGACACAACCAAACAAATAGATGCTCTCAAAAGAGATCTTTCCGAATTAATGGAAAAGAAAATAAAGTTAGAACGTAAATTTCAAAAGCGACGTAATGATTTTACACTGCTCATGTATTCGATACGAGAACTGCAAGCACAATTAGAAGAAGATAGCAGCAGTGAAAGTAGTGACGATGAGGAATTGAATGGCTTGGACATTATGGATCTAACTGATGATGAGGGAATACCTGTGCGTGCAGAGAAAATAGAGTTAATCGACGGTAAGACGATAAAAAAGGATTTTCCTACAGATGAGAATGGTTCAAAAGGAAATATGTCGGTGGATGAAGACGCTATACTAGAATTAAGTATTGATAAAGACGAGAATGATGTAAAGATGGAGGAAACCGTAACAGTTCCCTAGCAATTAGACTACCTCGTTATTGATTCCGATTAAGAAGACTATAAAAATTATTAAAACTTCACAAATTTCCCAAAAAATTTACGTTCAATTTCTTATAATCTTTTACGATAATAAGTGTAGCGAGTAAATAATAAATAAACGAATTGTCGGCAACCAGATTCATCTGTCAATAACAGCTGATAAACGTTTGTGTAAAAATTAGTTCAAAGTTGTTTTGTAATTCAGGTGATAAATATAAAATTAATTATTAACGCATTTAGTTAATTTATTAAAATTTATTAACTTATTTCAGTATGACTTCAACAAAGACTTTGCGCTCATTATTACAAGAGCTACGTTCGGCTTCACCTAAAGGTTGCATTAAAAACTCGCTGGCCGCGCGATATATCCTGGCACAATACAAGAAATATTCCACAACAGATCTGCAATTGTGTAAGGCACGAGATGAGGCTTTGTTTTTGGGTCAAACATATTTAACATACTTATCCAGTTTGCGAAAATACAACGAATTGTACAAAGATTACCATGGGCGTGGTGAACGCAGCGTCAAAGAAACTGCGGATTTAGTTGGCTTCAAATTGCCAACAGATCCCAAATAGAAATATATAATGATGAATATTAACTACATTTGGTTCATTAATATGTTAAAATAACCATTTATAGATAGCTTAACCTAATATTGGATTGGATGTAGTGTTTTGATGGATTCAATAATATCAATGCAAGAAAAACGTAAAATGATATTGATATATTCTTGGACCTTAATAAATGGAAAATGTTAGATAGTAATATATATATAATGTAATAATGTGATTTGATTTTTTGAAGGATTCAAAAATACCAAAGCAATGTCGCCGTGTCCACTGTGAAATCAGATATGTATTTACTCAATACAGGTTTTTGAGGCAAGATTTTTTCAATTATCGTACCATGGTTTTTAGTAAAGTAGTATAAGTTGATATATTATATAATACTATGTGTATATGAACATACAACACGCAATATATAAATAAGAGATTGTAAATACATATTAACTGAATGCCGAAGTCAATGAAATCAATAGGAATCATACCCCGCTGTCCCCACAATACGAATGCATACAAAGTAGAAAAGCGCGCTGAAGGCAATTTCTGCATATGTATGTATATACATATATAAATAATTTTGGTGGTTTGCATTCGTTCTTACATTGTTCGCTATTGACAAAAGAAATTCTTGCACACTTGTTGCCGTCAGCTCAGTGCCCGCCATGGGAGTGCAATTACCGTTGCTGCGTAAATGTTTTGTAGGAGAACGATTGACTTGCATATGAAAGTTAAACGTGCTGCAAGTAAGTGAAGTGGGAGTAGGGAATTTTTGTTTAGTTTTCTATTTCCTTTTTGTAAATACCTCATTTTAGCGAATACATTTGCAGATATATGGGTGCATTGCGGTTAGGTGGTTGTGAGAGACGAAAAGGCAAACAACTATTTGTGCATGCAAATATTCAATTAATATCAGCGCTTTGTAGCATAACGTGCGTACGTTTACACACATACATGACTCTAGAAAAACAAACTATGTAGGACTTTTTTTTTTTTTTTAATTTTAGGTTTCTATAAATTGAAATTTGGGGCGTGAAAGTTGGTGGACTTGTAGTTACGGATTTAGGTGTCCAATTAAGATATAAAATACTGATCACTAAATAGTTTAGACGTTCTCAAATTCATCAAATCATCGAATATCCATAATTTCCCTAGTTTCTCTTTACCATGATGGGTCTAGATTTCTGTGTTTACATATGTGCATATATCCAATTTCTAGGAGTCTTTAATAAACTTATTTATTTTTATAGGCTTTTTTTTTATATACGTAAATATCCGCCACATAGTTCTACTTGCATTCTTGAAAACCACGAACCACAGTTCATTCCTATTCTATTCTACATAAATATAAATTAGTTTATTACTTTGTTTGCGTCATGAAATTCTAAATTGTATGCCATACATTGTGCTCATACTAGCGTAGTGTCGATCACTCTGCCTACGCCTTTGCCAGCTTTCCTTATTGTTATTGTTATTTCTATAAGCTGCAAGATCTTGATGTTAAGTAAAGTTAACTATAGTACAGCAAAAACAGAGAAAACGTCTGCGTGCATGGCGTATGCTTGCTCAATGGCGTATAAACACACTGCACAACAATAAATAAGTTCAACGCGCTTTTGAACTTTTCATCAATTTCTATAATTTATTCATTATTTTCAATTTGACGAAATGGTTGGCGGTTAAGTGAGTACACAATGGCGAGGAAAGCATACATACATATATTGTCACTACAGATGAAGACGCCTGATATTTATTATATTATATGCATATGTACATATATGTATGTATATACATATATTTCTTTCTGAAAGCCAAAATAAATACAGCAAAGAATTAAAAAATTCTTATTTCTTTTTCATTTTCTTCACCTAAATATGCGCTGATAATTTATTTGAATACATTGTTTTGCTGTTACGAAGTTGGACTCTTAGGGCCGTTTCCGCATTGCCTGGTTAGCAGCCATCTGCCTATTAAGTTCTGGCTAACTTAACCAAGATTTTTAAAGAACATTTTTTTAACCAGAACTTAACTGACAGATGGCTGCTGACCAGACACTGAGAAAATGGTCCTTAATATTCTATCGGTGATAAAAACCGTTAAATCGGCGAGAGTAAACTTTTACTGGTAGAAATATGGAAATGTCTGGCAGAGTGCTAATCTACCTAAAGTACCTACATACTCCATTTAAGATAATACAGTAGCATTCTAAATGGTCCTCCTTAGCTGAATATTTTGCTGATACGTAGATTCATAAATAATTGTAAAAATCTACGCTTTTAATATTCATTCGAAGTAATAATCGTGTACAACTGACTCTCTTTCGTCTTGTATGAAACTGATTATGCGAAGTTTTCAATTAATTTTAATTGAAGTTAATTGCACGATAAGCGAAAGAATTTTCTTGCACAATTTAAATGCTAACTACTGTCTGTTATTGTTGTTATTCTTGATATGCATTGCAAATTTCTATTGTCCACCAATAAATGGTATAAACTTAACTTAACTACGCGATTACAAAGAAAGTGAAAGCATTGAAGTAGAAAATATTGACCTTGATAAATGAACTTCGTGCTCAATAAGGAGAAGGGGAAATGTTTCTTTTTGCAGTCGTTAGTCTGCACTGGAAGTTAAAAAAATCTGTCGCTGTCTGCATTCTATTGCGACAACATGGCGGATTTTCTTTTTGTTTTGCGATTATTATGTATACTCAACTTGAAATGTTTCCAAAACCTACTGCTAGGTCGAAAGGTTGTGTTTTTCCATTTCTCAAGAAAAACTTATAAATAATTAAATTTTTAAAATACTGTTTCGAAAGTGGTTTAGCTCTAGGCTACTAGACTACTGTTTTCTTTTTCAATTAGTGGCTGCTATTAAGACAACACTAGATTTACTTCTCCGGAGTACAGCTTCTGTCAGAGTGATCATGCACTCCGACAGCAGAGCGACGATATTTGCATTGAGCTCGCAAACTGTGCGCTCAAAGTTAGTCAAGGAGTATCTATCCTTACCAAAAATAGTCTCATGCCAGTTCATCATCAAATTCGTTTGAGTACCCGGTCATAGTGAAATCACTGAAAACTGCAAAACCAATGAGTTAGCAAGATGGTGCATTAGTAACCCACTCACATCGGAGTAGAACAAGTCCGAACTCCGTTGTCATCTTACGCTCTAACACTGCACCTGTGGACTTCGGAGGCGCTTAGCAGGCATTGGTCTACAACCAGCTGCTGTGGAGGTGCAAAATTCTACTGGCCTAGAGTAGGAAATTCATTGAACTGCTTGCCTTTAGCAAAGTGAATATTACAGCAATCGTAAGAATTCTTACTGGACATTGTTCTCTGGGCATTTCATTCAGTAAGCCTTAAAATTCAGTGCACGCAAATATCTCGGCAGTCATACCTTTGTAGAACCAGTAGACATAGCCGAAATTTACATTGCCCATTTCAATGAATTTATGATTAGCTCAAAGAGCTGATAAATTTTTATAAAGCCTACTTTTAGAATAAATTGCAAAAATAACAACAGTTTTCGTGCTATAGACGAGAAATTCCTTAAGCAGTAAAACATAATGCTATTTTTACTGCTTTTAATTATGCTAGCTTAATATTTGTCTACCAGTTTGCTCGATTCCCAACTTTCTAAATTGTCACTCTCTTTTTATTAAATTTCATTTTTTTTATTTACATCGAACTGTAAATTTTTAATTTTTCGGTGTTTGATTTCTTATTTCTTCCTGTCCACTTAAGCATGTATTAATTATAATATATGTATACGTACATACAAACTTAGAAGCGCCGAGGTTTTGATAGTTGAACATCGCACTCGCCGGCGGCCATTTGGCTGCACAAGCACCTCAAAAATAAAAATTTATCCAAATATATCTAGTTTACACCTATTATGAGCATTCGTATGTATGTATGTATAACTGTGTGCGTGTATATTGAAAATATCTCTTGCATTTCGTCGTTGCTATTTTCGTAAACATCTTTGCGCCTATGTTTCTAATTGTTGTTTTTGTCATTGCTCGTTACATTTTTTGGCTCAGTGTAAATATTTAAGTCAACGAAGTCCGACAATTTGTGCTTTTCTTCTTTGTCTTTTTGCCAAATCGGCCACATTTTAGCCTAATTATTAAGCATTATAAATTCTAATGTGCATTGTTGTTGTTATTGCTATAATATATACTTAAATATACGACATGCGACACTTGCGAAATGGAAAGTATTTGTTCACACTTTAACTTGAAACAATAGGTGATGGCGTTATACTCAATCTGTGCGAAAAATGCGAACATGCCGAGAATAAACAGATACGCCTTAAGGTGTTCCTTAAATGTTGGTATATTTTTTGAAACAGGTTTCTAAAACTTTATAGAATATTGTCATACTATAATAGTTATATTTTTAATTTATTAGTTTTTATGCTCGTAAGAGAAAATACAGATGTGTCACTGAAACGTCGTACTTGTGGTCGTTTTATGGAAATTGGAAAAATGACTGCTGATTTCTTCATAGAGTGTCCAATAATTTGAATTTCATTGAACTTACAGAACCATGTCGCATGTGAAATCATCTCAATCGTTTCCAATCGACACCAATAAGCTTTTGATTTGTTCAGGACGACCCTAATGTTAACAAATAAATATAAAAATAATGTATGTATTAAAATAAATATATAAAAACTCGCATAAAAGTACATTTATATGAACACATATTGAAAAAAAAAATTAAGTTTCCCAGCCTTTAGACATTCTGAGTCGCAGGCTTTTATTTTTTGTTTATTTATTTTGCTACATATATTTTCACCGCCAATGATTTACTAATAGCCATATATTTTATTTGGCCGGTCTGTTTTACACGATCTGCAAATTTCTTTGTAGTTGTGGATGGCGTTTTAAATTAAAAATACAAGCATATGATGTCATTTTCAATGTGAAAAAGCTAATCCGGTGAGCTAATTAAGTTGTCAAGTTATGACAGAATGGTTCAAAAAAAAAAAAATTTTTTTTTTTGTAGTGATTTTGCTGCAGCACATAAATAGCTTTGCTCGTGCATAGTTAGAAACATAGTAAATCATTTAAATTAAAAACTATGTTTACTTGAATATTTATTGGATTTTAAATAGTTCAAAATAGTTCGAAAATATAGTTCTCAAGGAAATATCAGCTTTTGTAAAGTTTCAATGAAAAAAATGTTTTCCATATTCTTCACATTAATCAAGCAGC